TGAGAAATTACCTACACTGGGCAAGTTGTAACGACCTTTCATGGCCTTACCCCGGATGGGATTCTTGAGGCAAACAGTAGCAAATCTGGCTTTGGAATGCAAGGTTAGATTATGGCTCCGTAGAGCCCACATGTGCTGTTCGAAGCACTTTGTGACTTGCCACCAGGGCCCCCAGCACTCTAAACCCTACCTGACCCTCAATCACAGGACAGGCGAGTCTGAACAGACTTTCCCGGTAGCACGGATGCGCACCGCACACCCAGCAAAGCATCAGATCATGAACTCCAGACTCTGAACCCCAGGCCCTAATCTGAACCTTAGGGTTAGGTTTATGGGTTTAGGGTAAATCTAAACGCCTGAACACTACATGTGGGCTTCCATTCCATTTACCTACAGGGCCCAAGTATACGCCATACAGCCAGCATAGGCCATAATCTAAACTCCTTCACGGGGGTTCTACAAAAGGAGTTTATAGGGAAGTATTGTAGGGGTTATCAAGTGGGATACTAGAAGTTTAGACTATAGCCTACGTAGCCACTTAAGTAACCCAGAGCCGCCATTCTAGTTTCCATGTTCTTTCCATTTGTTTCTCCGCTGTGGGGTAAGTACACAGCTACGTAAACCCTTCGTGATCGCTGCGCGCAGTAAGGATACCATCGGATCAGTTGGATAAACCGCACAAGTGGGCAGCTCGGTCAGATTCAAACTATTGTTTTTGGCGCGATTGCCCAAAGCCCTACATCATCCACGCATGTTCTTGGATCTCAGTCGGTTAGCTAGTACCTGGTTTTTGGCCCTAACCTAAACCCTAAACCCTAAACCCTAGGCCCTATGATGTTTTATGATGGACCCTTCTTCGGCCTTTATTTGGATCTCCAAGGATTGGGACTCCCTTGGAATGATCTGAATTAGCAGGGACGGGTTCTGAGATTGCACGGATCCCCATATTTCTGTTCCATCATTTTCTGAACAAATACATTTTGACTGGGGGTTAGAATAAGGGAATATATGATATGGGGATTATAGTCCCTGATTCCCTACTGACAACCACTAAGTAGTTTAAGCTTGGACCCAGACCTTCCACAGACGGTCTTCAATCGTAAGCCTAGGTACCCGCAGAGCAGTGCACCTTTGTGAACCAGCCGAGGGTGAGGGCCTGTACCAAAGACGGTTTGAGGAGTTATTCAGGGTTTATGAGGCGGTGGGGGCCCCGGGGGGTTGGGGCCTGGACCGCTGGGGGCCGGGGATTAAGGTTGAAGGAGCTTGGGATTTATCCTCCCTTCAGCCACTGTCTACAAGCGACCCCTTTTCAGGTTCCGTGCTTTGTTTGGTGGTGTGAACGGTTCTTGCGTTTGCAGGGCGCAGATGCAACAAGCACCCTGTGTCGGGCATGAATGGATATCATGCTCATCCTCGCAAATTGTTATTGTGTACAAACTGTGACGGTCGTGGTAGTCGCAGCAGATGAGAGTAATGATTAGGAAATGGTATGATGTGTTTCGCTGTATATACCACTTCTTCAGTACTTGACCATCTAGAATCTTTTCCAAAGGTCCATGTAGCCGTATACTATATGCTTGGGCCCCAAAGTAAGTATACCACATGGACCTTTTAGGTTTTTCCTTTGGGTGTCTTGGGCTGAATCCGAGAAGTCTGCTTCCGACCCAGTCAGTTGGAACTTTCCTTTGAGTTTGTGGGGTTTAGTTTGGAGTCTGGTATAAGAACTCCATATGCGAACCCTATAGAATTACAGCATGAAGGACCCCAGATCCTGTCCCTTGCTATTCAACTGTCGGAGCTTCCATAGAAACGCCACCGTCCAATTTGCGAGTCCTGAGAGGAAACGTGGTGAGGGGACTATGCATATGGGGTACCCTAGGGCTCCAGTTACCTAAATCATGGGAACTGGGTTCTATATATACCCTAAAGTTACATCTTCCAGTAACATGTTATTTAGGTAGCTGGAGCCCTAGGGGTAGTTGTGACCATAGGGCTGAGTTTTTGCCCGAACTTCCGTTTCCGGTCGAGTAGATCTGCTCACCGCAAACGGTAAATCCTTAAAATCTCATGGTTGTAGACACTGCCCCATAGGACCCCAAGTGTTCCAATAGAACCTCCCTAGGTTCACATGATCGATGCAGGAGACCACCTGGGTCAAATGTATTCACTATACCATTGATATTAAACGCAGTGGTATACCACAGTACCACAATTCCCAAGGTACGTTCTACGAGGGGTCACGTCTGGATGTTTACTATCCGTTGTATGTTCGTATGTGAGCTATAGTCTAAACTCCTAGTATCCCCCTTAATATCCCCTATAGTAGTCCCCTATATATTCCCCTATAGATCCCCCTGTAAGGAGTTAGACTATAGCTCATGTGGAGCCAGCGGGATGGGTAGGCCACGTTATTAGCATGTTTATAAGCCCTAAACCCTAGGGATCCAACTAGCCCAGAGTAGGCGATATTTACAAACTTTAGGGCCCAGTGTAGGCATTATTTGTATACTT